ATCCGCGCGCGGCGGAAGCGACGGCGGCGAGGGGGAGGAGGGGAAAGGGGGGATTGGCGCGGCAGGGGGTTTTCGTGCGCGATGCCACAGCCAACCCGACGGGGTAGTGTCTAGGGGGCTGCGTTCTCTCCCTCTCTCAGTTGGCCGCGATTCATCGCCGGGTATGTACGTCTCGATCGTCGTGGTGGCCGGGTGGCACGCCAGCAGCAGGTCGAGGAAGCGCGAGAGGGTGGACTCCGGGGTCGCGGCTTTCGTCGCAATCCTCGTTCTCCAGCTCCTTTCCCACCGCCTCCATCTTCATTTCCTCCGGCTTTCTCGCGTCGCATCTCGAAGGAGGGTTAAAGCGGTTCTGCAACCCGCGAGGGATCTCTCCTCGCAGAAAAGCGAGAACAGCGATTGCGATGGGTGCAACGCGGCGGGTGCCACGCCGATGCGACGCGAGTGCGACAAGGTGGTGATACATTTATATATACACACACACACACACACACACATACACACACATACATACATGCATACGCTGGGCAGCGAAAGATGTGTGTGATAATTAAGAAAATAGCGAGAAAACACGCAGATATCTTCACGACGACATGAATGCTGCGATAAAATGCTCTAAAACCGACGCGTGAGATCATCTCGATTGACGTTGAGGCGTGAACTCGTACAATCTTATTAATCAATTAAAAATTCGACGATTCAATGTGAATTTTTCATTTTCGAGATATGCTTCGTTTCTCTCGATGCTCCGATCTCACTCGCTCGGAATCGTTGCGAGTTTACGTTCGTTGTGAGATTCGGTGCAGTTCACGGGCGTTCGCGAACGTGCAGAGAGTCGAACGAGGAAGAAAAAAATCAAATGTCCTCGAATGCGGCTGTATCGTTTGATCGATCACTGTCGTGTACATGATAATCGCCAAAGTCGCTGCAACGCGAGAGTCGCAGATCAGCGCTTAAGTTTGATAAGCGCCGGATTTGGTCGTCACTCGATAGCGAGCGACGATTAAAAAGAATCTATTCAAACTCGATTAAAGAAGGGGTGTCTCGAAACAGCAATCTCTCGAAGAAACGCGAGACTATCCTCGAGCTGGCTATTAACGCTTCGAGGAAATGCTTCTTGAATTAGGCAACCTGCGGACCCGATTAATGGACCATTTACATTCCCGGGGAAAATGCGAGAAGTAAATGAAATTGCGGAATCAATTGCACGTGAAATTTCTAGCGGGATTAAATGGCCAGCGATTGATTGATTAGGCGAACACTTAACGATCGATTGTATTATCTTTCTCGCTCGTAAAAACGCGAAAACTATTGAAAAATAAGAGACACTTATCGTGAAAGCTTCAAAAGAAAAAGGAGTTGCAAAACGAATCCTGTCAGCATAAAAACATTTAATGAACAAGATTTAAGAAACGTTACGCCTTCGTTGCGTTTGTTGCATTACTTTTCAATAACCTTGATGTACACTGAAATATTCATTCCTTGATAATTACGAACAGGAGCCTGACATCGCTAACGTGCGTCTGTGTTTGAGGCTAATATGATGACATATCACGATCTCGGTGAGAAAAATTTCCTCCTGGCGAGGCAAGCCTCTTAAAGACAGGATTTAAATTCATCCGCCTATACGTCCGGCTTTCGAGAATTGGATCTTCGAATCTCCCCCCTCCCTCTTTCTCTCTCGTGTATCCTACGAATTTCAAAATTAATAGATGTTCTTCCTCTCTCGTCCTGATATATATATATTTTTTTTAATATTTATACGAGAGAATTTCAATGATATTTTTTGCCCTCGAAAATTTTGCACGAATCGGGAAAATGGTCCATTGTGTCACGCGCATACGACCGTTGCGAGTGCATTCGCCTCGCTGCGGATGGCTTTGGCGATTACACGCGGGCACAATCGTTACGCGGGCGAAGTCTGCGATACAGGTGATCTCGACCTCGCGAGGCTAACAACTCCGCGACTCTTCGATTCTGCAGAGGGTTCGGGACGGCGACACTCGATCTCCGGGCCGATAATGGATGGAAGTGAACGCGCGAGTGCATTTCGCGGAGCCAGCCCCGACGACGAACGACGAGCAGAACGGCTTTGCATAATCCGCCGCGCGCCGATCCGCCTCGTCGAGGAAGAAGAAGCAGAGGTGGAGGAGGAGATGATTCCATGTAGCGCAACGACGACCGCGTTTTTACGACGACCGATCGCGCGATCGGCTGTGCCTCGGTAGAGGAGAAACGACGACGGAGCCCCCGGAGAAAT